CTCTATCCCAGCCAAAACCAGCACAGACCTACATTAATTATTTTATTTATATATATATTTACATATATGCCAAACTGTAAGAAAAAAAGCACTTTAAGAAATGAAGTGTAAAGCAACATCTGGAGAAAAAAGGTGATTTCATGCAAGATTGTATCACGCAGAAAAATAATAGTAGCCTAAAGATCTGGAGATCTCTGCATTCCATTCTTTTCTCTGCCCTGCTAGAATATAGTAATGCAACATATTCAGATCTATTTAATGATTTAATTAATTTAGGTCTCATACACCTGATGAAGTGAGTAAATACTCTTTTTTCTGATTTCACAAGTGACAAAAGAGTGGTTAAATTAAGTAACCCCTCTAAAGCAAGTCAACATCAGCACTGGTATCAAAACAACATTTGTGGGACAGCAATATGAACAGTTCCTTGGATTATACGTTTTGAGATTTTTTGTTTAATTTGGATGCGTAAGTATTTGAATGTCTGATCTGGGGAATTTTAAAAGAGCTTAGTTTCCAAAGCTCTTGCTGATTAGGTACTGTCAAGGTTTATTATGGTTTCCCAAATGTAAAGGCACCAAATTGGCAATCACCTTGAAAAGGCTGAATTTTTGATTTCAGTGCTTCTCCTACATCTCACTTTAGCAAGTTACTTATCTAAAGTCAGTGACTTGTGAAATTTCTGGGGGGAAAGGCACTGCCATTTCTGTAATTATGTTTCGCTGTCCTGCAGAATTTTTTGCGTAATCACTGTTCGAGTTTATGAAGCACATGCAAAAACGTGTACATTTCTTGAATGTCTGCTGGTTCCTTATCTTTGTGTCTTTTACTGTGATGTTGTAGAGCTTGGATCATATGGAAACCTAAAATATTATGACACAATGACTGAAGAAGGTAAGAAATATTTTAGAATTGTTTGTATCAGCTTTTTTTGAAGCCCTTTAAGTGCTTTTTATATGTTTAGTTTTTCCTTCATTTTTCTTAGTCCTATTTTCAGTTTCTCCATTTTTTAATGACTGCTTTTTGCATGTCTTCATTGACAGTGCGATCAGTTATGGCTCTTTTTTTCAAGTTTTTGTTTTTCAGCATTTCAGTTTTGCTATTTCAGATAAGGAAATATAATGGAATTCTCTTACTAAAGAACATACATGCAAAACCACACTTGCAAATTATACAGCACAGTATAACATAGATTGTAGATGCTTATTTGATGCCATGTTTTGCAATGCATTCAAGAAGATGAATTAATTTATGGATGTTCAAATCACTCTGAGAACAATTATTAAGTGACTTCAGTTTACTGTATTATTCAAAAGTAATGAATAAACTTTAAAAACTAGGCATGACTATTCCTGGAGTATCGATTGTATGCTTAACTGCAAAAATTATGCAATTTGAAATCCTGATTCTAGCAATACAAGAAGGAAGTAATTAGGGCCTGAATCAGGGCTCAATGAAATCTTGGGAAATTTTTCTGCTGATTCAAAAGCGTTGCAGTTTATTATACTAATTCAGGAAAGCAGTTAACTGTGTACTAAATTTCCAGCACATGCTTTCAGTCCTAGTACAGTCAGCATTTCTATAATTTGGAAGTTTCCCTGAACTGAGACCTGATTGTTTGTAGGATCAAGGCCTCTTGTCCAGCTCTCTGATTATAATGCCAGACAGATGGTCTCATGAATGTTCAGCTTACTAATTAGTGACGTGTTTGAGGATGGAGATAAGCTTGAGACCTGTAGAAAAGTTAGCCGCCTATTCCTCCTTATTTTTTATGTTGGGAATATAAGGCAAATAGCTTAATTCTCTGTTTTTAAAAACACAGTTATTTTCTAGTTTAGATTAATCTTGAAGTTAAAAAGGTTTCAAGAAAACCTTCATTATATGACTTACTCATAATCATTTCTCTAGGGGGGGAAAAAAAAGTGGTAACTTCTGACTATTTCCCATTTTCTGTACCTGCTGTTTATACTCAAATATAACCGTACTATTCTGGGACTGGCTGTAGGAGATGGTTGCTTCCAGCTTTGTTGGAAGATGTTGGAAGATGCTGTTTTCTTCTGTAGCAGGCGTGAGCTCATAGGGCAGTCTTGCCAAACCGCCCTCCATTGCCCAGATTCACCATCTGATTCACAGGGGTGACACAGATATAAGAAAGGATGTCTGAGAGGAGATTTTATCAGGCAAACAGTGATGTCTATGTTGTTTAAATACACCTCTCAAGCACCGGGAATGAGTCATTAACCCAGACCATTCAGGTACGGCTACCAGAGCTAAAGCTTTTGCAGTATCTCAGTCCATTACAATCAAGATGCGGTCATTTCTTGTGAGTTGGGTATGTTAAGGTTTTTATTTTTTATGCTGAAGTATTTAATCTACCATTTCACTACTTTGGTAGCCTTCTGATATTCATAAATACTCTATTGACAGTTAAATGTAGCTGTTTGTGGGAAAATACCCATGCAAGTATGATATATACAATATATGTATATATTAATACTGTGCCTATGCTGAAGTAATGCTGTTAATATTCAATGTCATCTCAGAAAGCACTCATCATGAATAAATAATCCAGGACCATACTGTAGCAATAGCAAAAATCCACTAGCAAAAATAAGAAAGGAAGCTCTTTGTCTTTAGGAGTCTGTGATACAGTTTGCCTTCTCAAATACAACTGTCATCATCATTTTCACATGTCTTTCAGAAAACAAGTAATGAATAGTGTATCCCAGAAGCTGTATTTAGATCAAAGTGTGCTATATTTTGAACTTTCTGTTTGGATTTTCAAAAGTATAATCACTATCACTCTGCATCACGCTTATTTGCATTATCCCTTTTCCTCTTTCTCTTCCTTTTTTGACTGAGCTTTTTATACATTTTGTGCAGAAAGTTAGTCTCAGGAACATGTAAACCCAGTTACAAATCCATGGATTTTTTTCTAATAGAGTACATCCTTATCTCCAGGTCCTCAAACCCTGAGTGGAGATAGGTAGCAAATCTTTCAGTCCTCCAGTGGAGAAGCACAAGCATTTATTCTTGCTGCTACATCAGAACAATCAGAGACAAAAACTAATGTTTTGCAATACACAATCAGCTATAGCTTAATGGCCAGAGGGCCATTGTGCTCCAGGTCTTAGAAACTGATCTCTACTGGTTTTTTGCTCCTATTTGGTCTGAAAGTGACTTTAAATTAATTGCAGATCAATCAGGCCCAACTAGGAGAGAAAATATACCCTACCAGATGGGAAGAGACCCTCACAATAATCTTGTGCTGTCAAGTAACCTCCATCAACAACCTACAACATGACAAAACTGCATATGTTTTCATTTGATGCTTCTGCGGGATTTTAAAGTTAAAGGAGAAAGCACGTGAGGTGGATTTCTGGAATTGATCAGTTGTGACCCACTAGTTGTGTTCCACAACTGGCCATGAGCAGGTCTGGTAGGTACGGTTCAGACTGCTCAACAGCCACAGATTTGAAATCTTCAGCCTCATGGAAGCTTGGCTAAAGCTGCATAGATGTAGTAATTTGCATTTGATCAGAGACTGAAAACTAGACAAATGGTAGAGTCTTGAATTTTTTAAATGAGTGAGTTTCTGAAGATAAACTATTTTCCTATCAAATCAAAGGCTTTTCTGACCCAGGGAATCTGTAGTCTGCAATTTAGATTGTAGTCAAAGAATTGGCTTTTTAATATATCCTTGATCAGAAGGAGAATGTCTGCCAACCAATGCCAGCTGGAGTTGCTCATGCAGATCAGCGCATATCTATATTATACAATACTGATTTTTTGGCATATATTCAAATAAAACCAATTTAGTTTTAAGCTACCTTCTGCTAATCACCTGGCCTTCATCTCCTGTTCCTTCTACCCCATCCTTTGTAAACTAAAATGAGTCGCAAAATCTGTCTGAGTTCAGCGAATCTAGATTAATTAAGAATTGAATTTTCTATAACAATCTATCCTATTTTAGGTCCATGAAATCAAGCATTTTCATTCACCTAAACTCTCATGGTAGCAGATGGTGTGAAAATTACTCTTAGGTAGTCAAACCCATAGTACATAGGACTGTTAAAGAGGAAACATAAGCTCCTACCTTCTCCTAGAAATAAGAACAGTAACATAAAATTCCTATTGGATTATTTTAGTAACGCCACCTAAAGATGAGAAAAAAGGCATAAGAGAAGATCTGTGCCTAAAATGAAACCTTTGGGGCTTTCTGTGAATTTGAATGACTGAGAAATATCCTGAGATGGTCCTTTTTCCTGGTGGCTCTGTGCTTCCCCTTTGCTGAACAAGGTTTGGTTTGGTTTGAGGAGAAAAATGGCAGGGAAAAGGAAGAAGGAGGCATGGCTCTGCTGTCTTTTTACATCTCACTGTCTTCATGCAGTCTAGTACTACTGCTTTCCTCAGTGTCATGCTTTTGATAGTTAATATTATGTCTTATAATCATTTCCTCACACTGTTTGTTACCTACACTGAGTGAATCAAATGGAAGGTAATGATGTAAAAATGTAAGCTGAACTGAGAAATAAAAATAAACCAAAGTACAGTTTCCCTTTCAAATGTTGAGGTTAATTTCCATGACAGTGACTTATAACTGTGCAACAGTCTCCTGAATGAAGCAGTGTAACTTACAATGTTAAAAGTCAATGTAAGAAATTCTTCCTAAAGATGGGAGGAGGCTTTTGGAAATGTGAAAAAAATTGAAGACAACTTCAATTAAGTTAATCTAAAACAGTGTGAATCTCTGTGGAGACATTTTCTTTTCAGTTCAATAATGGCTAAAATTTCTCTATTAAAAAAAACCTACACAATTTCAAACAATCTCAAACAAAAGAATAGAGTATCCTCATAGAATTCTTCATCACTTTAATTAAACATTTTAAATTGGATCTTAAATTAAAAGGTCTTACACTATCCTGGAGTAGGTGGAGATATGGATGGTTCCACAGATATTTCTCAGAAAATGTCTCAGTTGCATCATTTGCATCGCTTGCAAAAAATGCATTTGTGTATTTGGGGCATCACAAGCCAAATTCTCAAACATGTGAAATTGAGTTGGAGTCTGAAACCTAAAGCAATCCTTTAGCAAACTGACATACACGTTGTATGAAAATTATGCAGGCATCTTTCAGTATCTACACATGCTTCTGGATAAGCACTTTTTAAATACCCCTGGTGTTTCAAAAGAAGATAGGAACAGACTCGATTCTGAGCATTTCAGCTTAAAATATTTGGAAATACAATTTGCATTTTTTTCTCTGTTTTTTCTTTCTCTTATCTGATATTCCAAGCAATTCCCTTTCTCTCTCTCTCTTTCTTTCTTTAACTCTTTGTTTCTTCTTCCCCTTCGAATGAAAATCTCTGCCACTGACCCTGTGCACTGAAATAATGAGATGGCTTGCTATTTATGATTGTATTCTACACTTAGATACTCTTTTGCAGGCAATTTTACTTTAGTACCATGTACCAAAAAAGATAATCTTTGCAATATATTGTGAATGGCTAATTATTATTTGGAGCATATATTTGTGAAAAGGTAGGGGCTGCTGAAAGGACAATACTGCTTATTAAATCTCTGTGGTATTTTTATTACTTTCCAAGTGATTTGCTGTTGACAAATTAATTCCACTTCCCAGCAAATGATAGCTGCTATTCTCTGTGGACTGTGCATATGCTCCTTCACATGCAAAACTGTTGGTACAGGGGTTTGAAGCTTCCTTTTGTGAGAAGGGAAGAGAGGATTTCTTTCTTGACTAATGATTTATTCTTGTGTGTCTTTTATTTTAGCTTGGAAACAGTGACTGTTGTCCAACTAACTGAGTTCATTTTTGACTTCTCACTGTTACTTCCCACTGTTAATTAATTATGTGATTCCATTTAATATCTTTTGGTCTTAAGCCTGCACTGTTTTTGCGGCAGAGACACCAACAGTTTTCAATTGATTTTTTTAGCTGGAGATGAAGAATTAAAACAGTCATGGCCCTGTATGGTAATAGTGTTCTTAATTAGAAGTATACTGTACTATAGCTACCAGTTATACTTTTAAAAAAGATAAAAAAAGTCTTAAAGAGCAATAGCAATGAGGGTAACAATAAAGAAAGGCAGATACATCATCTTTCTACACAACATAGACTGTCATAAGCTGTCCAAAGAGTCCTTACATAGAAAGATCAATCAATGTAGAGGAAGAACTAAATTAATTTCACTTAATATTTGCCATCTTTGACATTGCCTAGTTTGAATATGTTATTTGGACTCAGAAAGAGTGACAGGACCTGGGATCTCTCTTAGGACGGGATGAGTTGCCCTGGAGACAGTCGAGATGATAAGCTGCATGGTTAACGTCATGGGAGACAAAAACCACCCAGCAGGTTGAGAAGAAAATTTACCTTTTAGAAGCTGGTATGGAAATCATGTATTCTGGAGATTTCTTCTTCCCCTTCCGAAGTATCTATAGAAGTCACAGGCATATAGCTGAGTGAAGTGACAAAGTTGACCATGGTCATCATGATGGAATATATGGGTTCATCTGAAATTCTGTGTTACTGTACTATTAATTGAGACCTGAAACTGTTTGTGTTTGTTTATAATATCTTTATTCATCTGCATTTGTCTTCTGTTTAGGCTGAAATCCTACGCCAGCACTTTTATAGGTGGAACTTCACTGACTGCTTCCGAAGAAAAATAATAGCTTTTGTTTTCAATTTCTTGTTCAATTTGTTGCTGAATTCTCAGAATAGAAAAAAACCACATTTTTATTGCCACTAAAAAGGAAAAAAAGGATATATCAGAACATCAGATAGTGTTTAATAACATGTTTGCTGTTTGGGAAGGGATGGAAATGAATTATTGGTACTGATTTATGGAGCCTAAGCTATGGCAAAGAAACTTTTCTTCTCAAAATGGCTGCATTTTAATAATGACAATGCTTTCTTTTAGGAAAGTTCAAGGAAAGGGCCTCAATTCTGCATAAGATCGCCAAAAAGAAGTGCCAGGTGGAAGACAGTGAAAGGCAGAATGGAGCTGCTAGTCACGGTGAGTGCAGCAGTACAGATTTATCACCTGTTCCTGAGGGCCTTTTTCACTGTTTTATTTTGCTTGAAAATACTTAGGGATTGATTTCTCCTTCTACTTCATTTATGCTATCTTAGTAAAAATATTCTGATTCCCTGTACAAAAGAGTATTAAACTTATGGATGGGACAGGAGTTAAGTACAGGAAGAGAAAGTCAGTTAAGCCATCTAGAAAGCCTCCTGGCAGGCTTTAAAAGGAAAAAGCAATGCTGATTTTGGGTATGTGTTGAAGTGGCAGAAATAGACAGACAAAAGTTACTTGAGTTTATATGTGAAAATTCAATGAATTTATTGAGCTGCTCTAGGAGAATATGTGTTTTATGTGGTATCACCCTTGCGACAAAAAGAAACAACCTTCACATTTAAGATTTGATTTGTTTATCTACTACTTGCTGAGAGTCATTAGACCCATCTATGCTAATTGTGCAAAATTAGCTTACTATGGTTTTCCATTAAGGGTAAGAATTTGTATTTTAGTTCAAAAGTTCCTATACTAAAAGAAAATCTGTACTATGTCCTGTTTTCTCTACTTTACCTTGGCATGTTCTCTGCATTAGAAAACCAGACGCAAATGTGTCTGATAAAAGCTGAATCATTTTATTAGTTGACACTTTTTCTGACCTTGTGCTATGTTTAGATACTATTTGCTTCCAGAATCAAGCAGTTGGATGGGACACTCTGTTAATAAACCATAATGCTGGCTGTGGGTTTAAGAGACAACACACATGCACTGAAATAATTATAGATAGTCTGGCACTCCACTGTGGCTGTGATCTCAGATTTTTAATTTAGAAGAATCTCAGGATAGCAGTAACGTAACTAGACAGCTGTATTTACTTCTGTGCACAAGAGCATGCCATAAGGCATGTTGAACTTGAGTTAGACATTTCATATTGCTATTCCCAATAACTTTATATTGTCCAAGGGATTTTATGCCATTGGCATTTTTATCTAGTACATACTTAAAGAGATAATTACTGTTTAGAGAATTCCAAGATAGTCAAAGTAAGAATAAATTTGAATAAATTTGGCATCAGAAACCAAAGGCCCAATTTTATCCCTTTAATTCCTGTAAAAGTTTAGCACAAGGACTACAGGATTCTGTTTTAAAGATCATCCTCTGTTATTGGATGTTATTAGACCATCCATTTATTCTTCTCCCACATTTTTGCATGAGAAAGAGCACGATTACAGCTTGGAATTAACTTTACTAATTGCAGCGGTTAGTGTGTTATAAAAGTTATATGTTGTTGAATATATCCCCTCATCTGTAAATGTAACATCTTGCATTCTTTAATGTCTGGGGAGAATGCTAGATGTCACTTTTTATCTGACGTGTTAGGCTCAGTGAGTTTAGCATAAACAAAGAACTGAATATTGCAAAGAATGTAAATTTTTCTAGGAACGTGAGTACCAATAGAATAGTTTCTTCAAATGCAAGCTCACTACTTGTAAGAATTTTGTTCAAAATGTGTACTGGTCAAATGGAAGACAGAATTTTTGTCTCTCTCTTTTAAAAGCAGATGTTGGTCCATCTTCAGTATTTGATGATTTACACAGACTGAATATATGACAGCAGTTTCACTAATAGATTTCTTAATATTCTGTTCTGTTGTTTTCCCACTCTTATTTATGGATGATGCCACAGAAAAAAGTGCAAAAGTGGAAGTTGCAGTAACACCACCAAGTGATTCAGGACCAGTGCAGAATGGAATTGCCCATAACGTTGAAGAAGAGGTTAATGTCTTTTTTATTCTTCTTTTTATTTTTATATTGGTAAATATATTGCATGCTTGATTGTGCTTTTCACTGAAAGTATACATCTTAATAGCAAGAAGATGTTAATATGAACTGTCTACAATATATTTAATCTTCATTTGCAACTGAACCTAATGTATGGTTTGCCATATATAAAAAAAGCTCTTCTCTTGTGCCCCTGCACTTAAGTGTAAGGTAAGATGGTAGTCTGGAATGTATTCTTTTAGGAAATGTATTTTTACTTATCAGATAAGATGTTTGCAGCCCTAAATATAGCTAATGGAAATTGCTTGTCTGATTACCATCACATTGCACAAAACCTGTTCTCTTAAGAGGGTAGCCTGTCGTGTTTTGCTTCATGGGATAGTTAAAAGTAGTTATAAAAGAGGAGCTGTACATGAACTACTTCTCCATGCTGCTTTCGGTTATCTTGAGACAAATAACAAATTAAGCTGAATGGGATATAGTATACTAGTGTTTCTGTGACTCTCATTGCATGTGGTTAAAGTCTGCACAAGAAGTAATTAAACACTTAAATGTATTTATTTTAACATATACCTTTTGTAGATAATAAGTAACTGCATAACTATGTCTAACTTGCACAATGGCTACTGAAATAGCTACACAGTTGAGCTGGCTTCTTTCTTAAATAAGTTGTAATTCTCAAGAGTAGCTGACTGCAAAATTTGGCCCTGCCAGGCCCTTTTTTAATGTCTTCTAATTCTTAAAAAATTTTATTAATACCACCTGCATCCCAAGTAGGCAAACAAGTGGAAAAATGCTGGTGGATTGATTTTGCTAAACTTGGGCACTGCTCTTTTAGACTGAGACAGCAAAACCTGCATAGAGAGAGAAAGTCTTGTTAAAAATAATCCTTGACACAGATAATGGTTTTGTTTGTACAGTTTACTTCTTAGCCTTCTCCTTAGGCTACAGAGACACAAGAAAGTTACTGCAAGAGGTGGCTGAGCAGTGGTCTATAGCATAATATGAGCTTCCCCTTACTAGAAGTGGGATGAGCTATGTTGCATTTACATACAGCAAAATCATGCGAAAAAGGCAATGGCCATGTTTTGTTTCGAATCATCCCAGGTTTAGGTTTTGATATTTTAGTTGCTTTCACTTATTTATCATTTAACAAAATTGTTAGTCCAAGTCAGAGATCATCTTGCCTTCTTCATGACCTGAGCATTATCATTATTGGTGAAATTCTTTCCTTGAAAGGTTCTGCAAGCCACAGAAAAAATTAGAAGTGGTGTACAAGTAATGGAGTGTGTTTATGTCTGTTGGCTGCTTCCTGAACACAATTATCCCTCACAAGGAGCATAGTTTATACTGAAACATACTTATAACAGGGAGAGGTTATCCAATTTTTTCTGCAAGACTGGGAAAAAACACTGTGATGTGTAGTATTTTTTGGGAAAAGATTCTGTTTCCTTCACCCAGCTGGAGGTGGAGAAATGACAAGATGATTCTGGCCAACTGGTGTGTTAGTGCACCAAATATTGGCAGATAGCTTTAATTCTTCACTGTTGCAGATAATTTTAGGCTCTGGGAATCGAAACTGAGAATCAGAATCAAGGATTTGAAAGAGATGGGTAGTTTTTGATAGTTTTTGATATCCTGAATGATCAGTAATGATAATGAGTCTCCCATGGAAAGGAGAGCATAGTAGAACATTAAATTACCTTTTCTGTTAATCTAACTTGTTCAGACTGACATGCCATTTAAAGATCCTTGTCACCCCAACACAGCATTACTCTTACGTAAATGAGTAAAATTTATGTAATAAAAAATCTCAGCACCGCACTTCAACACTCAATATTTTAAGGTAAGGAAAGATCAATTTTCAGAACCATTTGGATCCTGTTCTGAGAGTCCGACCTCACTGCTGCAGTGAAATAATGTCTTTAGACTGTTTTTTAACTTCAGCAAAATAAATAACAAAATCCAAAGCAGAGTGGCCTTTAGACTTCTGTTCTCAAAGGTCAATAAGGGATGACATAGCCTGGTGTAACCTGTTAGGGTGTACGTAAATCAGTCTGTGGGTTGTATGAAAACTCTAATAGACTAACAGAGTTCAGTAGCTTGAGGAGGAAACTGGCCTTGCTTTGTAAAATTTTTTCCACTGAGTTTGTTCAGTGAAAACAATGAAGGAAAAGCAATCTTAAGCAATCACATCTCACAGCAATGTCCATATGCTATCATTTTGCATTGTAATGAAGCAGTTTCTAAGCTTGTTCAGAAATCTGCAAGGTCAAGCAGCCTCATCATTCAAGAGAACGGTTTCAATTTCAAGCAACTGCAGGGTAAGGAGGGAAGATTATTGCAAGAGTGCATTACTCAGCAATGTCTTCCTCTCATCTCCCTTTAGACATTTTGAACTTTCAGTGAGGCAGGGTTTGGAACTTTTATGTTAATTTCAGCAAGTATTAGGACATTCTGAAAAATTATTGTGCTGTATCAGAGGTGAGATACATTATTTATCCTTATCCAAATAACAAGATGGAGCAAGCAGGGAGGTTGCTGATGGAGGAGTGATTCTGCAGATTTAGCTCCATCAATCTGGAAGAAAGGATTTTAGGTGTCTGCTGTCACAATAAAAATAGCAATCCCCTAATAACATTTCTCCACAGTGGCCTTTCTAATTTTGTCTCCTTCCAGTGATAACCTGACAGCTGCTGCTATCTCAGCTACTTCATTTATTGATATGCTGGAACCTATTTTGTAATTCAACAGTATATATTGGAATTTTTGAAAAGTTGTAATAAAAATAGTCTACTCATCCATGTAACAAATAAATAAGTCTCTATGATACTTAGGACCCTGCTTCGCTGTGAGGTTCTCTGCCTACTCTGTAGTGTACAGGGATCCTTCCTCAAAGTACTGCCTAGCTTTTTTGTGCACAGCTTCCTGATACACCTTCCTAAGCTGTGGCATCATTCTGAAGCTAACACTGGGTTATTCAGTTTCCTTCTGCTTTTTATATTGACTTCATGGACACTAATAGGATTACTCCTGATTTATAAAAATGTAGGCAACAACAGAATCACACACATAGCATTTACATGACGTTTTTCTTTGATGAAGATTAGAATTTGAGGAAGGGAAATCGGTCATTGCCCTCCCAAGCCTTCTTTCTAGCTTTTCCAAACTTTACGCACACACTACATACCCCTAGGAAATAGTATATCTTCAAAGATAATGATATCAGTTCTAAGAGCAGCTCTGTTCAGGGGAGTAATACTAAAGGCACAGGATAGTATGCCAGCCAGTCCTCATCAATAGTTTCTTCTTCCCTTTCAAAAACCCGCTCATTAAAGCTGAGCGACAAGAACAAACTCATTACGGCTCAGTCGTGACCTATAAATGCTCTTGAATTTTGATCTTTTTGTGAACAAGTATTCTCCATTTTACACTGAGAACATAATTTGCTTCTGTTCCATGAGTAGAATTCAATTTGGCGGCTTGAATTTTTGATGATTTTTCCTCACTCTGAGGCAAAAGAAAGTGCCGTAGTGTCAGAATTTGGAAATATAGTATAAAATTGCGTCTCTCCAATTTTCCACTTGTATATGTCCAAAGATTCGGCTTTGTGATCCGTAAATGCTGTTTAGAAAACCTCTTAAGAAAACTTATCATTAGTGCCTCCATGTTCCAGTGGTGATCATTTAGAACTGAGAAAATTAGAGGCACTGTCCATCTTGAGGAACCAAGCTGCAAATACGCCTTTGGGGGAAAAAATTTTGTCCTGAAAACTGTGGGCTGGGAAATGGATGTACTCGCATAGCAGGTCATCAAGTATTCCTAAAACATGTTTGCAGTGAGGATACAGAAGACATGCATAGGGATCTAATTCCTTCTCCTCCATTGTCAAGTTCCACTATGGTCTTCATGCTTTTCCCTCTTGCAAAACAAGCATAGTCATATTTGTGTTTTTTCTTACTTTTCACTGGTGCAGATTATGGTGCCTGGGTCTAAACCCCTAGACACAAGCATTTTAGTAATATGGAGTTCTGTACTGGAGTTAGAATTGTCTGAAAATAAGTACATTAAAAATTGTATGTTCCACTAGTACAAAGAATATATGCAAATAATTCCATCTTACTTATAAAACCCCTATTCTTTTAAAAGTATGATGTTGAGCAAAGGACCCTTGTGAAAGGAAGGTCTCAGGCTAAGACTGCAAGAAAAGGGAAAAAAAATAGCTTTTATGTTGTGTTTTGATTTTCATCTATTTGTAAATTAAACTTCTTTTTAAAAAAAGCATAATACTCCAAATGCCATGATTTAGTTTTCCTTATACCTCTCCTGGTTCCTTTAGGGTTTTTTTGGTCATCTTTATATTTTTTCTAGACTCCTATTCTTTCCTCCTTTCCTTCTTTTTCAGTTGCACAAGGCTGAAACACTGCACAAGGTTTCTTGTGACTTTCACAATGTTTCATGAACTAGGTGAATTTCACTTTATTTCCTTTTCTTTTTTTTTCTTTTAATGTCTTCATTTGTCTCTTCCAAATTCCACTGTCTTGCTTTTCCCTTTTTCCCAGGCCCTTAACTCCATTCTTCTTACTCCACTCTCCTTCAGGGAACCTCAGCTGTCCTCTTGCTAGCCCAAGCCCTTGAGGAACAAGATAAATTCTGTCCTGATGCTGCTTGCAGAAATTCAAAAAGGCTTTCCAGAAAACGTCCCCAGCAACCCAGTCATTTGTCCCAGACAGTAAGACTCATATAATCCCACTCCCCCTGTAAGCAGCAGCAGGTCTCCTACACTTTGATAAAACCAGGATCCTCAGCTGAGAAGGACAGACGGCTGTGGTCTCCTTCCCAGCCCCTAACCAGCACAGCAGGGGAACAATACGTCCTCCCACCATATGGTCTGTAAGACGTTCCTGCTTGATTTGCAGCCAGAAATTGCCTTGTCTCCTGCTGGATATTGCGTCTTCCTCAGGGATTTTGTTCTACTTACGGCATTCTGTGTC